GGCCGGCGCCTTCCCGCGCAGGAGGTAGCCCGCCGGGACGGCCAGGTTGCCCTGCGGGTGGGGCAAGCGGCTGCGTTGAACCTTAGAGTCGTAATTACGAACAGCGATGTAACGCCTGTATATTTATGTGATATTAACGTATTATTGTTCTATTCCCTTTCATTTGTCGGATCGAATTTGAATGCGGTAGAATATGTTGGAATACGAAAATGATTGTTTTTCGATTCTGTCTACTGGGTAGACATGGTCATTTTTTGGAACGGCTCCAGATTTGCTGAATGAATGTGAAAAGATAAATGTGTGCGAAATATTGTTTACAACAGCTTATAGTTGGTGCGTCCATATGGACGGTTTCTAATATATTTTTAGCAATCTCGGTGTGTTTAAGTATTAGATATTATACATTACCTTTGTAGTCAGTGAGTAACAGCACCGTGTTGTGGCTCTAGTTTGTAGGTACAATATTCTCCATTTCCCTTTACCAACCTACGACCGAATTAAATCTTCAGCTCATTCAAATATCTGCTTACAGTATACTCAAAATGCTTTTTCAAAAAGAATCAAACGCATGTAAAACGTAATTTGTGACCATAGGTTCGTTTTTAATTGTTAGGTTTAAGTACATATACGATATTCTATACGATAGTATATGTAATACAATTGTTCGAAAAGTCCTTATAAAATCTTTGCATTTTGAGTTGTAGTTCTGTTCATATGCGAAACTAAAAGTAAGGTGCTGTTTAGTTATTAAATTAAAAAACCTCGTAAATATTCTGTAAAAAAATTACAATTCATTTGATATTACTGCATTGTATCAGCATGGACGTACACCTCAGTACTTACGAACATTGCGTCCTATTAGGGAATTGTTGTAGAGAGTGTGTTGTTCATTCTGCGAATGAAATTTTGATGGGACTTGCTAAATTGCTAATAATATGTAAATTTACATCCCATATTTAGAACTGCGTACAGTTTCCAAGAAATTTCACGATATAATAAACATTTTCATCGTGCCTTAGTGAAATATCTTAATGTACGTGGGTTTCTTCGATTAATGCCGAGTAAAAAGGTCCAGGCATAACAATACGTTGTGTCAATACGTTGTTGTGGCTTGGCTGACCTGATAGCGCGGAGGCAGCACGGCGGTGGGCGCGGGCCCCTCGTACTGCTGGAAGTACGGGCGCTGGGCCAGCCCCTGCTGCGCGAAGTAGAAGGTCATGTACGGGATGAGGCGGCGGAAGCGCTCCGTGGGCTTGAGCGTGGTGGCGCCGATGTCCGCCGACCCGTCCACCATGGTCTCCCCGGACTCCTCCACGTCGGCGTCCGCCTCGGCCGCCACCATTGACGTCGTATTGCCCGATGGCACCTGGATCGCTCGGGACGTACCTGAGAACATCAGACAGGACACCACCGTTACACGCTGAACTCTAGCATAGGACATAACTGAGCAACGTTCAATTACAATCGTATGAATAAAAATTACCATAACGTATACGTCAAAAAATTAATAGCTACGTTTACTCTTTCAGCCCAATGTAAATTATTGCGTAGCCTCGCAAGTCGCTATTTCTGACGGTTTGTCTTTCACTCCTCATTTATCATTATTTGAACATACTTAGCCGTGAGGTTGTGTTGTACTAACTAATAATCCTAATCAGGCAATGAGCGTGTACAAAATCAAACATACAATTTTCGCATAGTTCTTAATTGTTTTGCATTTCGTACATATTGGACGCTGGGCGAGCACCGATGGCGGTGAAGCATATAGCAAAGGTGTGTGCCAGCATCAGTATTAGACCTATTTTAATAGAGCTATGAGAGTTCATTCACAGGCATCTACTCAATTCCCACGAGTGAAGATTGAAGTTTCGTAAAGCTGGGAATATTTACTTAGACAATCAACATTCAACAATTAGTAGAAATGGCAGCTGCTGGTGTTCATTGCACATATCCTGTAAGGATAGACGTAAGAGAGGAAATTTTATCTTTCATTCAAGAAATAATGAAACCTTCCAAACGCGGAGTTGTTGCGAACATATATTTATATGCCGCAAATATATTCGCGGTAAGTTCTCGCATTGTAGAAGTACGGAATAGTTAAATATTAATTGAGGAAGAGTTTTAAAGTATATGTTCATTATTGTCGAGGGAACTGTATTGGTAGAAATGGTATTTGAAATCAACCTTGCTCCTGAAATGTGCTAGTACATTTAATTTTAGTAATTCGTTACTGAACTAGAAATCAACTAATCAAAAGTGCCTTGGAAAACCAGTTCTTTGGTAGCCAGCGATAATCAAAATGAGGTGGTTGCAAGACTGGTTGGTTCAGAACATATTTGTCGAGGGAGACAACTTACACGAGATGGTATCACGTTCTACTACTCGCGTCTTTTTGCGTTGTAGCTAGGACGATATTTCATTAAATCTTCCCTCAGAACATACGAAAGGGGAAGCTGCTCTAAATCCATTAAATGCATTTTATTCTTCTATTTTCACTTGATCCATTTCTAGGTACATTACAAACAATTATGTTCTTACTCTCTTCAGAGTTTTAAAGGCTTTAATGTTATATTTGTCATTTTATATAAGGTAGTAATAAGAGAGCAATTTCTTTTTGCCTTGAAACTTTGAGGAAATGTGTTTCAATTCTTAGGGCGGGAAATAACGAATTTCGAAATTCAGTTGAGATAGTCTCCCAAGTGTCGAGAAAAAGCGTAGGACGTGACTCGGCATCTTCATTTGATTTAAAATGTGTAGAGAAGTTATGAGAAGTATTAGTATTTTTAATGGGTATCATTAAGTATATTTTCCGAAGGGCGAAGGCGTGCCGATAGCGATCGTTGTAAAGAGCCATTCGTGAACGGGTGGACGACCGCAGGAATTTCACTTCCTTAAATCGTGCCGTACCCCCCTGCGTCGCGCAAAAGGCGTCTGCGATGTAGCAGCCGCGAACGACGCCGTCGAGGAGGAGGAAGTGGAGAAAGCGGTGCGCTGCCGTCCGCCGTCGACCGAAGGCCGTTCGACTTTATCCTTAGACGCTCTCCGCGCGTGCGCAATCGGCCCACGCGGAGAAAGGGAGGGTAGTCGATTTGGTGGGGCCGCGACCCTGCTCTCTCGCGCATTTGGAGGATCTCGGGGAATATCGGTAATGCGTTCACCTCGCCGGGCCAGCCCGGGGGATCGCGGGAAGCCGCCAAGACATGGCTGGGTAGTGACGTGTCTTGTGGCGCTGCGGTCGTTATTGGGTGCCACCCCTCGACAGAAAATATGCTGATGAAAGGGAAGCAAGTAATTGGAAGCATTGAGAGATGTTGTGGAATGAAGGTAACGTCATTTCGGAGGCAGAATGCTTAGAAAAAGAAATCTCTACAGGAAGAAGGCGGGCGATTTACAAAAATGATGGAAGTGAGAGGAGGAAGCGGCAGTAGAGGAGGTGGCTGATTCGATGAATCCATTTAGCCAAAGAAAATTTTGACTGAAGATCTGAGCAAGAAATTAAAAGAGAAAGTTTACGCAAATTGGAATATTCGTAAGCGTTGTTAACATTTACCTTGTGAAGAGTTCTATCGCCGTTCCCATCCTTTGATAACTAGGTGCCATTGACAGAGAGCTGACCATTAACCTGGCTTGGCCCGGCTCAGAAAGCCTTATGGTGCCGCTGCGGGCGCCCCTCTCGGGCGAAGAGTAGCAGAGAAAGCATCCGGGAAGTTCCGAGGAGAGGATGGAGGACGGGGAGGCCGGACGGAAGCCCTCTCTCCTGGATGCCCGCATAATTCCCAGCTATCGTTCTCAAATAACGGTGCTCTGTAGCGAATGAGGAATGCTGCCCGAAGGGTTGCGAGTGTCAAGGCGACGTTCATACCTTGACTGGGCGTTATTTCATAGCTGTACTTGTTTTATTTGAGATTGGCTATTATTGTCATCTAGTTGGTAGAAATAAATAGTTTCACGTGAATAACCTCTATTTTGTTACTGTTCTGTTTCGCAGCGTCACGTATCTTGATATTCGAGGACGTCCTAAATGAAGGTGAAATACTATAATCACGAGATTACAACAAATTTACAACATTAAATCTTCAGTTTTTTTCAGAGGAGAAAACAGCTCCAGATATGTTTCCTACACAGTCAGTAAAATTGTATTTTACCCTTGGTCAAAGGAAGAAAAAGACTCCATTGATTTATATCGTTGATACAAAATGATTTTGAAGATGGCTGAGTAAAATTTCTTTGCAACTAATATGCAAATTATATTACTCGTCGTGGTCTTCGGCGGTTCGGAATACTGATTGAGTTATCGGCGATTCAGTTCCCCGTTGAAACGACAGCAAGTAAACAGTTATGAAGACAAGAGAAAGTATATATCTTAGAACTGAGATTAAATACATAAAGGAGTGAATATGGCTCTTTCAGTTATTCCTGTCACCTAATGTTGTGCTTGGCGAATATTAATTACATCCTATTACTGGAAAGTGTTTTGAATGTTATACTTACACATTTTATTGCTAGTTATCTTTGGGAGACTTCTTTTCCTCGAACACTGCACCATCACCAGAGAAAGCGTCTGGGTAGGCACAAGCCTTTTCTCTCTCCGAACGTTCGCGTAATTCTCTGCGATCGCGCCGAGATAACGTTGCTCTCGCGCGCGCGTGCGCACCGGGAATGCAGAGGACGCTGCTGCCGCGGTTGCAGGCGTCGAGGTTCCGCCCGCGTCCGCACACCGTCTTACGTAAAAGGACACGGTACTCGGCAAACAGGTGCTTGGCTATTGCCCGCCCGCCCGCCAGGTGGTTTTGCGGGTCGGGGACTGTGATTTGGGCGGCGCGGGAGAATGCGAGGAACGTGCCCACCGAAATGCGCGGCCGAAGGTAGGGCGCCAGAGGGTCGGAAGAAAGATTTGAGTGGCCGTTGTTTTCTGTCTTGCAGCGAAAAATTGATAGTCTCTTCCTGATTGCTGCTTCCCGGCTGTGCGCAAGAGCGGTGAAGGTTAATTCAATCGCCCAATGTCGTGCTTTGGATCTTGGGTGTGACAGATTACTATAATTTGGAGAAATTGATTTGCGGTGATGGAGAGAAAGGCTTTCTTTTCGACGGTGCTTTAGACTTCTTGTGATCGCTTCAACCCCTGACGTCTTTTTTTCGACAGAATTACTGTTCACATGTTCTGGTGAGAGGAGGTATGGTATCCGGATTTTCTAACAAATTCCCATATAATCTGCCATTTGTGCGTTTGTGGATAGTTTTGTGAATGTAAATCCAACGAATATTTCAAGTTAATTTCAATAGAGAATGTGGTATTCTCCCTCCCGAGATGAATTGATAATTCATATCGTTGAATTTGGTGGCATTTCTTCGGAAGGATTACTGCATTAAACATCACACTGCTGTAAAGACTAAAAAGAAACTATTGATACGTACTTATGAAGGAGATTTTTCTTTTGTTGCTATTATGCGGGGTGCTGATTCATAAAAGTACTTCGCCGCTTGCATATGATACTATCAAAGTATAACATTTTAAAGTATTAAAACAACTTTTTTTGAAAATTATATCTGCCGCGTGCCCGTATCATTCTGAGGAGATGCCGGTGCCACAGGCGACTTCTGTTCGATGTCACCGCCGCGCTCACGAGTTTTGGAACTGCTACCACTTTTGGCCCCAATAGGCGCGCTCGAAAGTGTCGGCAGAATTTGCCCTATTGCTATGACGTCACAGTCGTCTCAGGTGGTAGTGAAGCTGTAGCTGGTATTGTCCGAGGCGCTCTTGAAGTCTGAGGAAGCGAAAAAGGTTGAAAATTAATACCCCAAGGGAGGCATATGAGGTTTTGAACCAAAGGCAAAATGTATAAGCTGTTAATACAGCGTGTTTTAAGTTAAATATGTGTTTTATGTACCTGATTAGGATGTTGTGTTTGACTGAGGTTTTTAAATTATGGAATGCATGAATGACGGGAGGGGATGGTTTATTACTCGCTGTCCAGCGCTGTTTCGAGAATTATCCCGAAGTTTTGTATTGTCGCCCCGACTTTGTGCCTTCTCGGTTATGCTACTGCTTCCATTGCCGTCTTATTGCTCGTTTCTCCTCCATTTACAAGTGCGTTGCTTTTCCTCTTTGGTAGAGAGAAAATGCGCCACTGGACACTTGTCTGCTTGCGAGTTCGTTGGTTTTTTGCGAGCGTATTAAGGGAGAGTTGCAGAATTAAAAGAAGGAGCGATGCGAAGAACCGCGGCCACGTGCGCTGCCGGAAGCCGCTCTCCGCTTGGGTTGCTCATTTGCATAATACTATTTAGCGCCGTGTACTCTTAATGCGAGCGCACGAGAGTGTGACATTTCTAGAAGCCGTCGTGTCTCCCGTTTGAAAGCGCAGAACTATTTTAAGCAAGTTTTCAATGTTTTCTTTT